TCCAAAGACCAACTGCAAAGATTCTGCTTTATCATGAAAGTTTTTAAAGGGAGAATCATTGTGGGAGGGGATCAGAGTCTTCCTGATCTTCCGCTGTGTGCAGACTTTCTTCTGATTGGTTGGTGGTGAGGTAACAGGGCAATGATCTAGGAATCTTGTACTCTGCCGGAAGTTACCATGCTCCACCTGGGTGGGGGTCTTAGTTCCTGCAGAAGAACTCAAAGGTATTGTTTAGGTGTATTCCTTAGGGAGGAACCGGGACCTTGCCCCATGGCTGCACTATTATTTCTTGACCCTGCCTCATTTGTTTCTCATTCCCTCCCTTCCATGAATAGTAACTATTTGAATCTTCCCTCTGGAACTCAGGGAAGGTCAAGGAGGATAAATGAAGCCTCTTTTCTACAAACAAGAAATGGTAGACATGGGGTACATGGGTATAGATCAGTGGTAGACTGACTGCTTAGCATGCACAAGGTCCTAGGTTCAATCCCCAGTACCTCTAACTAAAAAAAAAAAAAAAAAAAAAAGGAAAGAAAAAAAGAAATAGGGGACATGCAAAGGATTTTTCCCCTGGAGGGTCCTGCTTTGTTTCAACCTTGTGTGGGAGATTAATGAAAGAGCTGAAGGGGGAATGGAACCATTCTCAAAGGGCTTTGAATGCTAAGTTAAGGAGCTAGGACTTGATTCTATAGGCAAAGGCATCCAAGTGAGAAGCAGTCAGTTCATTCACGTTTCCATTGAAAAATGTCTTCCAACCCGGATCTCCAAATCAGCATTTGTTCAGGTGGTCTAAACATGTCCACAAATGCAGCAACAGAAACTAGCATTGACAAAGGAGCAAAAAAGCTTAGAAAAACTATGTCCTTGAAAAGAATCTTTCAGGCCCTTTCAAGAAGTTGATGGGAGAAGGTGGTTTTCCCCAGAGCCACTGCCAAGAGTTTATGTATCCCACGATGTGGCAATCTGGGGGTTGGAAGTGGGATGTCAAAACCAACTGAACAGGAAGAGCAGGGGAAGGTTGGTATTTTCTTGTCGTGCCCTTGGGTCAGCCCTACCTGGCTCAACCTCTTCCATCTCTTGACAACCAATGTTATGAGGTCAAGGAGGTCAGTGAATGTGGGAGCCACTGCCCTCTGCTGGAGGGACTAGCCTCATCCCCAGACGTGTATTTAACTCCAGGTCAATAGTTCTTAACCTGTGAGAACCAGAAGAAAGCTATAGATTCAAAGAAAAAAAGATAGGCACTCATACATAAAGATTTGCATAGAGTTTCAGGGATGCATGGAAAGACCCACTGAAACCCATCCATCAACCTCCCAGGTAAAGGTGTGACTTCAGAAGCAGACAGGCCAAAGTGCCAATTCAGGGCTGAGACACCCACCTCTCTAGCTGTGAGACAGAGGAGAAATTAAGAAGATGCTACCTCAGCCTATTTTCTGCCAAGAATGCCCTTTTCTCCGCTTGGGTCCCATGTTTAGAACTATTTTCTCTACCAAAGAGATTGCATTGACGAAGAAATCATTTATGCACTCCCTAATTTTTTATTAACCCACAGAACAGACAGGTGATATCCAGTTACCCCATCATGGCTGAGTTGATAAAACCGAGGTCAAAATCAGAGGTAACTTGACGTTAAGTTAGCCAGGGGAGCTCTGCTGGGGAAAAATGTCTGAATGATTTTGGTTGGCCCTTGAAATATTAATACTCCAGTTATGATGATTACACTTGTACTATCTGTCACTCACTCAGTTCACATGCTTAGATTCAGAACTAATTGAGTGATGCTGTTTGTCTCAGTCTCACGGTCTCTCACACATCCACGTCAAGTGCAGATGATGCAGAAAATGTCCCTTCAACTGCACTTTTTCACGCCTTCCCTCAGACTCTCTCTAAGGTCAGTTCAAAGATATAGTTAAAAGTGACCACAAACCTATACTTTAATCCACTCTGGTTGTTACTCTTAAGCTTCTGCTTCACACTGGGACCCTCTGGCCTTTTTTTTATTTTTATTTTTTATTTTTTATTTAAGGGACAGCCACTTGGGCTTTTGAACGAAACAAGGAAGCTACTTAGTAGCTGTTTGACTTTGAACACATTACTGAAGGGGCAAAATGATATAAGATCCCTCTTAGAGAGAAAGAAGATAAGAAACAAAAAAAATGTAAATCTCCCTTTAAGAAAGGAATTCGTTTTTTAATTCCTGAAGGGAAACTGAGAAAAAAAACCTGGGATCTAAAAGACCTTTATTTATGCAGGTGCTGTGCTATAAATATTCTAATCTCTGTTGTTAATGAAGCTGGATTTACAACCTAGTAAACTAAACAAAGAGCTTATGTTTAGTTGATTAACCAGTTGAGGCTAAAATCTATTACACTTAAGTGACAGTTTTTTGTTTTTTCATTTTTCCTGGTGTTGGCTCTCTTTATCACAAGACTCTGTCTTTATCCATTTGAAAAGCAAGCTTCTATCTTTGTCCCATACAACCTGTCCCATATAATTGGGAGAAGTTCTAATGATGATAATAACAACTTACACCAAGGGTTCCAGTTAGTGACCAGGCACTTCTTTAGGCAGTTTATAGTTATTAAAAACATTTTCACATGACTCTATCATCTTTTGAAGGTTTCCATGCTTTGTGATACAGATATTCCAGGATTTTCTCTAATTTTTCTTGCTTGAGCCCTGAAGTCTTGATCCTTTTGCCACGGAGTCCTGGGTCCTTTTAATAGAGAATGGTGTTTAGAAGACAAGATTTAGGCTTTCTTATTGTTACTGGTGTGTCATTGCTTTTACACCCTCTCAGTAGACAGGATTGGGAAACACATACATTTTTATACCTATTTCAATTACATTAAATACCATGAGTTCATGATGATACACTAAATTCCAGTCCAACAGCAGAGTTTTTTCAAGTGTCTTCCCTTTCTATGTTTGTAACTCCCTTCTTCAGCATTAAGAAATCTATTTTTAATCATTTGAAAGTAAGTTTATAATGACTATATTGCTGTTTTTTTTTAATTTCCCACTTGTATTGGTCTTTGCTCTCCAAGAACTATAAAAACTCCAGAGTTTTCATTTATTTTATTCATTCAACCAGCATATATTTATCAAGCAAATGCTGTGTGTCAGATAGTGTTCTATGGCTGGGGATACAGCAGTGAACAAAGCATCATCCTGGGAAAGGAACCATAGAAAGAGAGAATAGTAGATAGAAAGCTAAGAAAAAGCTGGAATCTGAACCCAGACAGACTGGCTCCAGAAATCATGCTATACCATCTGCCTCTGATTGCTTTCGTAATTTGCTCTCTGCCTTCTACAAAAGTTTACAACTCTCTTGAATCCAATAAAAATGCCTCTGTCAGTTTCTAACTCTACACAATGCAGAGGCTTGTGCATCTTCCACATTACTTAATGGCTCTGAGACTCAGTTTCCAAATCTGTGAAAATGAAGACACTAATCTCAACCCGCTGTGAGGATAAATGAAATTATATGAGGCGCCTGGTGGTATTTGTGACACATCACGGGTATTTAGTGAGGTTAATTTTCCTTCTCTTTTTCAACACAAATGCTGCGCTATAAAGTTCTCCAAGAACAGACTCTTTTTCTCTTGCTAATTCAATCAGTCAATCATTTACATATTCTTTCTTACTTACATCAATTCAAAAAGCATTTATTGAGAATCCAGTATTTGCCAAGCTTTCTGCTAGTCATCAGGGATACAGGAATGGCACAGCCCCCATTCTCAAGGAGCTCACAGTCACATCCAAGATACAGGCAAACAATTACAACAGTCTGATATATAACCCAGATGAAAGCTGCAAGAAGGGTGGAAGAAGGCTTCCTTAAGGAAGGGGTTCTGTCAGAGCAAGGACCAGTATGGCAGCTCTGCTGTTAAAGATGTCAAGAATAAATGAATACATAAATGGGTGAATGAACTCGATTCAGTTCAACAAATACTTCATAGAGAATGGGTGCAGATGAAGAAGGGGCAGCTCAAGCCTTCAGTGAACTTCTGGTTTAACTGGCAGATACTAACATCTATAAAGATATATTTCCACACAACGTAGAGAATCCTATGGGGCAGGCGAGATCCTGTAAATACAAGATAGAGGGCGTTTCTAAGCTCTATTAGTGGATGAAGGGGGGCTCTAAAGTCTATTACTTCCTGGGATGAACTCATTGAAGCTTGGATATAGCCAGTAGATAAATGGAAGTCATTGACAGCTTCTAATCAAAGGAATAATGTGGTCAAATTTGTATTTGCTGGTAGGACGGAGGATGGAAACGGGGAGGGAAACCTAAAATCAACGACACCAGCAAAGAGGCTGAATCATCGGAAGCTTGAGGTAGACGCTTGATCTAGAGATAGATTTTGGCAATGTCTGCAATCACTCAGGGAGAGTATGTAAAGAGGAACACTCTAAGCAGCTGGCAGAGAAAAAACAGCCCAGGGAGGACACCTAAAAAGAAGAGTCAGAGGAGGAGAACTAGGAAAGACCAGTGTCCTGGGAGTCAAATGAACAAAGAGAAGGCGGAGCCAAGGAGGATCAGGAAAGAGAGAGCAGTTGTGTCCAATGCTGGACAGAGGTCAAAAAGCGTCCCATTTGATTTGGCAATAGGTGACCTTTGCCAGAGCAATTTCTGTTGTAATGGTGAAGGCAGGAGTTGCACTGCAATAAATGAGTGAATGAAGGAGGAAAAAGTCAAGGTAAGTAAATGAATGAGTGAATCAAGCGCTGCGCCCTCACTTGCCCTGGGAATTTCCAAGGCCAACACTGAAAGCTGGTGCCGTGGAAGGTCCTTCCAGACAGGGAAGCCGCCTCGGAAACCGGTCAGTCTCTCAACCCTTTGGTAGGCGCGGCTCCAAGGTCAGGGTCACCTCAGGCCTCCAGGCAACCCATCACCTTGACGACCAACTGAAAAAAAAACCGTAAAGTACGGAAGCAGTCAGATCACCTCGCGAGATCTGGCGTGCCGGCGCTGGCCTTCCGGGCCCGGGAATCGCGGCTGGCTCTCGCGAGACTTGCCTGGGGTCTGAGCGCGGGGCACGACCGTCGGGAAAGCTGGAGCTGCGGGTGGGGAACATGTCGGATTCAGAGCTCGGCAGGAAGTGGGACCGGTGCTTGGCGGATGCGGTCGTGAAAATAGGTAAGAGGCTCCTTGTCCTTGGCAGGCCCCGCCCGGAGTCAAACAGCCGGCTCAAGGCTCCGCTGACCAGGAGGGCCTGCGGGCCGGTGGAGGCCCTGTGAGAGGTCAGGCCGTCCGGCCTGTTCCAGCCCCTCAGGCTAGGGCGAGCTGCCCAAGCCTGGGCGGGAGGTCACTCGGGTGGCAGGGGACTCGGGCCTGAGGAGCCTGGGCGGCCGCCCGAAGTCGAAGAGGTGGGGTTGCATTCCCGAGGAGGTGGGGGTCGAGTTGGCAGGTGGCAGGACGGTTGCGGAGCTCTGCGAGTTAAAACCGTATGCAGGACACAGCCTTGTGTCAGAGGCTTAAGATTCTCCTCCCTGGTGTCACATCTCCCGCACGGAGCGTGCAGCCTGGGCAAGAGGCCACAGTCCTCCCCAGCTGTATCAAAAGTGCCTTCTCAAGAAGGTCATCGGGAGCATTTTTTAAGTATTGCCAGGCCTTCACGTGAGTTGCTCTCATTCCCGACTTGTAACCTGATTTATCGACATCAGAGAAGTATGGGGCCTGAAATCGGAGACATAGTGATGGTGAACCTGGAATGAGAATTGCCTTGCAAAAGTAAGAGGTTGATTGGTCACTTTTCAGCCCTTAGTGTAACTCCGCGTAGCCTTTTAACATGTGCTCACTGACGACACAAATTATGAAGTCACTGCATGGAGGGGAGAGGGAAAGAGGGAAACTCATTTACTGAGTGCACACTAAGTGCCAGACACTGAGCTAGGTTTGCAACTTAATACTTTACCTCATACAGGTCTTGAGAGTCCAGTGAAGGGGGTTGTTCAGGGTCTAATAAAAGGCAAAGTTGGCAGTTTAACCCAGATTTTCTTGCTTCAAGTCCCATACTTTTTCTTCGATACTAATTTTTATTATCTAAATTTGATATTTTTGTATGGAAATCTTAAGCGTATTTAAGAGGGTTTAGGATTGTGCCTTTGAATGAAAGTATTGGAAAAGAAAGAATATTGTAAGCTCCATGGTTTATTCACTGCTGTATCCTCATCCCCCAGAGGAGTGCTTAGGAAAAATTGTTGAGAATGAGTCAATAAATTAATTAACTTATCACAGCTACCTCTTCATCCTTGAATTTACCACTTACCAGCTGTGTGATTTAGGGCAAGTTATTTAACCTCTCTGTGCCTGTTTCCTTATTTGTGAATTGGAAATAATAATTATTACTATCTCACAGAGTTGTTGGGAGGATTAAATGAGTTTGTGTAGAGACTTCCTCAACTATGAAAGTGGATACAGATTTACCTAAAAGGATTATGAAGACTGAAGGGTAGAAAAATACACAATATACTTGTACAGTGCCTGGCACTTACTAGGTATTCAGTAAATGGTGGTAGTAATAATTGTTGATATTAATATTGTTATGCTGCTGATGGTCACCTAAGGCAGTGAGTAGTGTCAGTGTCATTCACGAGTGGGACATGGGTGGGCGGTGCGGCATCCACAGTGATGTGTGATTACAGATAAAAGTAAAACTAGTAATTCAGACTCTTTTTGCTCTAGAGCTATTATTATAAATAAAGTAAGTGGAGTGATGAATTGAGGTCATCCAGTAAGTTTGCGAGGAAAATAGGCCTTCAGCTATGCTTTGGACAATGACTTGGACTTGGGTAGTGGGGAAGAGTGGAAGCATTTGAGCAGAGGCTGGTTGAACTTCTATGGAGGAGGAAATTGAAGCACCGAGAGGTTAAGTGGCTAGAATTGGAGGAGCTGGGGCTAGAACCCAGGCTGTAATTTTAGTGCACCCTACTCCCTACAGAAGGCTGGTTTGGGTGGAGTCAGAATTGTGAAATATTTTAGAGAGTCTACTTTATCTTGAAAGCTTTTGAATTGCCTTTGACTTTCACATGCGTTCTGCATATTCAGCACCTCTGTCTTAAAAATCTGTTGCTTTTTGCTCCCAGGGTTCATTACGTCTGGACTGGTGGGGAATCATGGGATGGTTTTAGGCAATAAATATGTATTGAGCCCTGGGTCAGTCAGTGGGCATAAAGAGAAGCAGAAGGCATTTCACTGCCCTCAACAGGGAACTGATGTGATATAAATGGAATTTTGGTATGATTGTTCTGGCAGTGTTTTAACAGAACAAGTTAGGAGTAGAGGAGTACTGTGAATGTGAAGTGCTAAGTCTGGACTGTTAGACCAGAAAGGAACCAGAAAATTTTGAGAAACTTCAAACTTTTTCCTCCGTTTATAAAATGGAGATAGTAATACCCACCTCCTAGGCCAGAGCAGGCCAAGTACACAGTAGGAATTCAGTAAATGCTGTTTTCTTTATCTTCTCTCCAACTGGTTCACTGTCTCATTTAATTTCTTAATGAAGATGACTCCAAGGTTAGAACTTGGTTAAGTGGTGATGTCACTGATCAGCATTTGGAAGTAAAGCAGGAGGGGTGCATGTGAACCTCATTTACACTATGTTACATATAAGACTTAGTAACTGATTATATGAGGTGCAGGAGAGACTATATTGAGAAAAAAGCTCATAATTTTCTGCTTACATGGTTGCATTTGAGAATGATAATGAAGTTGAGAAGAGATTTTTAATTTTGAGAGAGGAACTGGGTTCAGATTTTGAGGAGGTTGCCCCTTTATTAATGGACTTAGGGGAATGAAGCATGGATGTGTAATTTTAGGAGGCTTTTGCCTAAGGTATTTGAGACTATGGGATGAACACTGTTCTGTCATGTGTTAGTTCTTATTCCTATAGGCAGCGAGTGTATTGAACTCTTCAAACCTCTTTGGCTACTTGCTTTTCTGGTACTTCAGAATGGAGATGGAGACTCAGTGAATGACCACCTGCTGTAGGATAGATAGAGATTTTGGAGACAATGCAGGCAGGGAAGAAGGGCCAAGGCAGGCTTTCAGCTGCATAGTGATAATTTCATATTTTCTGGCTTGGCAGAGACTGAAGGGAAGTCAAGGTGAATGGACAGCTCCCTTTGTGAGCATTTCTCTGTTTGGCTGCCTTATACCTAAGTGTTTTTATTCTTTTCCCACTGGTTTGCTGAAAAATGACTATTTTAATCACTTGTATTTAGCCTCAATATTGTACACCTGTGTTAGAGAGGTCTCACAAGCATGTACTTGAGGGAGTAGTTCTTTAAAAAAAAAGTTCTTCAACGATCTCTTCCTCTGAAGCAATCTATTTATTTGTGTGTAATAGGAGTATGTAGGATAGAAGGTTTCCAATATGGTTTGATCTGATGTACTGATCCTATGAATCAACACACACACCGCCCTGTAATAGGCACAACAGGCCATTGTTCATCACACATCTGTTTCTCTCTTCTTTCAGTCCTTGTTTCTTTCTTTTCCTTCTCCTCCTC